CCTTAACCCTGCTTGGTGGTCTTGAAAAAACCGTCTCTAGGGGCACCTAAGGGGCTACGTCTGTTAAGCACCCGACTTTGGCTCAGGTCATGATCTCGGTCTGTGGGTTCAAGCCCCGCATCAGGCTCTGTGCCGACAGCTCGGAGCCTGGAACCCACTTCGAGTTCTGTGTCTCCCTCTGCCCCTCCCCTGTTCAGTCTCTCTCTCTCTCTCTCAAATATAAATAAACATTTAAAAAAAAATTTTTAAAGGAAAAAGCCATCTCTAAAGGTGAGCACCCTTATTGGAAAAACGATCTATGTTCTTGTGGGGTTTTTTGTTGTTGATGTAAAAGTAGGAGTTGACTGATACCCACCCAGCTCCCGTGCAAAGCTCATGTTCAGGAAGGTGCCTTCAAACGTGGCTAAGAAGTGTTTTCTTAGCTTCTTAATTCACATTTGAACAGGCTCTCTGATAAATCATCAACAAGAACTTGACTTCCCCCTGAGTCCCCGGAGGGGAACGGAGGGCTACACCATCACTGCCGATTCCTGCCCGCCCCTCCCCCAAGGGAGGTTTCCACCCCCAGCGCTCCCCCCGCCCCGCCGCCCCCGGGTACCCCAGAACCCGGCACGTACTTGTGCCCCATGAATATTTCTTGGGTGCGTTAAAGGAATAACTAAGTGGGCAGCAGGAACCAGAAACAGAAATCTTGGTTGGTGGGGGCTGTTTCTAAGAGACAGGCTGATGTTAAGCCTGGAAACCCCCCGTGTGCCCCTCAGCCTGGTGGGACAGCCCACAGGCGCCCGGGCTGTGGCTGATTTCTCAACCCCGCCCACCTCCAGCACCAGGCTTGGTCTGGGCAGCAGAAGGAAGGAAACTGAGTTTATTGAGGGTCTGCTCTGTCGCACCCTGTACCCTGGGTGACCTCACCCATTTCTCCCCAAGATGGGTCACGCACCCCCACACCCTAGTCCAAACGGGAAACTCCAGCCCAGAGAGGGGAAGCGGCTGGCCCAAGGCGGCACAGCCCAGAGGCATCACAGTTAGGAAGCAGATCTAGACCCACCAGGCTCCCCCCAAACCCCCCAAACCTTCCCCGCCCCGAGAAGTGAAGAGGAACAGTATGGACGTCCTGCGGCTCCTGGAGGCCGGATCCGGAGGGCTGGAATTCGGACGCCGCAGGCAGTGGCCTGGTCCTGGCAGGGCCGTGAGTAACCCTGGACCAGCCCCTCGGCACACGACCTGGGGCCACCCCACGTGTCTGGCGAGGAGCGAGGCTGGCATCCCGTGCACACAGTCACGGACACATGTGCTTCTCACATCCGTACACACGGCGACCTCGTGTGGGCACAGACGTGTGTGGCCTCGGGCACGTGGCTTCACCGCGGCACGCTCCGTGCCCTCTGGCAGCTGTGCTGGTCACACACGGACACAGCAATGTGCACCTGGGTCGCCGTAAACACCGGGCCCGGGGGCCCCGTCGGGGGGACGGGAGGTTGCAGGCCGCTTCACCCTCCGGCCCAGGGGTCCCCAGCTCTGGCTCAGGGCCGAGTGGCTCGGCCGGCTCCGGACGGCCAGTCGGCCTCGCTAGCTGGCCTGTGGCCCAGATCCCTCAGGTGGAGGGGTCATGACCACCCACTGGCGGAGGTAGCTCCTGGGGGGCCCTGCATCCCCGGGGCTGGCGAAGTCACACTCCACAGGGCTCCCGCAGTCAGAGCCCGCGAAGCCGCTGTCAAAAGTGTCCATGTCTAGGCCGGCCGGGGGCGAGCCTGCCTCGCTTCCAGGCACCCCTCGGGGTGGCCCGCCGCTCCAAGGCGGCCCCGGGGTCCAACCCGCCTCATCTTTGAGGGGCAGCTTCAGCCTGTCGAGGAGGCTGCCCAGAGGGCTGTCCGGCCCGCCAAGGCCACCAGTCGAGACGCAGCCACAGGACAGGACTGTGGTCTCTGTGTCCAAGAGCGGGTCCCCAGTGCTCGAGCCAGGCTCCAGACTGGCGTCCAAGTTCAAGGCTGGGTAGCCATCATCTCCGCAGGTGCAGGACCAGGCACAGGGCCCCTCGGTGCCCGCCACGGTCACCGTGTCAATGGACACGAGGCCATATGGCCGGTCCCTCTCCTGGCTGTAAGCTGAGCCACCGAGGCTGCTGACGACGGAGTGGGCTGGGCCCCAGAAGCCCAGCTCGGGCAGCCCGTCCGCCTCCACCAGGTCTGCGGGCTCCGGCAGCTCCGTGGGCTCCGGCCCCTTGCTAGCACCCTGCGGCGGGCAGCCGGTGTGCATCTCCAGGGACGAAAGCGCCTCTGGGCTCCAGGGCACCAGCTCCAAGCTGGAGGCAGTGAAGGGCGTGCCCACCCATTTCTGTACAAGAGAAAAGGGGCTGGTCATGATGGGACACGGGCGAGGACAGTGTGAACAGACACAGAGACCAGACAGAGACAGCAAGTGACGGGGACACCAGTAGATAAAGAGAGTGATGGCGGCCAGAACCCTGGTGTGCCCCGTCCAGACACGCTCCTCACCACCGTCCCCTCCTCCGCGGGCCTCGGTCTCCCCACCTGCAGTGGCCTGCCAGACCACTGGTGTTCAGAGGCCCGGGGCCTGCGTAGGGCCTGGGTAGTAGGGGCCAAGATTCCTGAGTGGCGGGGACATGGGGGCTGGAGGGCCTGAGTCCAGGGTGACAGAGCCGTGGCCTCGTCCCCCGGTTCACTTCCTCCGGGACGCTTCTCGATAATGACCATTTTCCTGTTGGTGTCCCCACTAGTGTGGACGCTTCGGGCACCAGCCTCCATTCTTCCGGTCGCAGCTACGTCCCTAGAGGCTCACACAGCGCCTCACACAAAGTAGGTGCCTAATAAATGCTTATTAACTAAACGAACGCACAGAGTGAATCAGCGACAAGCCGCTTGGAAAGGCCTCTGTGCGCTTAATGGGTGAAGGATGTGGGGCGATGATAAACCGAGGCGGCAGCCCCCAAGCTTTGAGAATCCCCCTGCCCTCGCTGGCCGGGGGTCCCACTCATGACACAGGGCCCCCACCCAATGGGGAGTGAAAATCCCTGAGGACCCGGGGCTCCCAGTTCGGGCACCTTCTGCCTCAGAAAACCCATCTCAGGACCCGGCTGAGGCCCCCGTGACTGATTTGAAATTACTTTGGCCTTTCTGTGCCTCAGTTTTCTCCTCTGCAAAACGGACCTACCAGTGGCACCGACCCCACGGGGTTGTTGCAAAGAGTGAACGGGTTCCTATCTCTGAAGCTCCTGAGGGTTGGTCGAGGGAGCACCAAACAGGTGCTCGAGCTTCAGGGCAGGTGCAGAGGGGAGACAAAAGTCTCTCTCCTGTGGGGTCGGGGGGGGCGGGGAGCCTGGGCCGCTCCCCTGCCTCCCTAAGGCCGTTTCCCCACCCCGAGCCTCAGACGGAAGGGGCAGGGAGCAGAGAGTGCTCAGTGCGGTGCCAGCCAGCCAGCAGGGGCTCAGCTACTGCTCTGGTCCGCGTTTCCTGACATCCAGGTTCAGACGGAGGAGGCGGGCTGCTCCCCTCCCCGCCCCCCCCACCCC